GCTGGAAATCCAGCTCCCCATCCACGGCCTCCACCTGCCCGTGCTCCTGGGTCAGCCCCACCAGCCTGGGGGGACACGGTGTCACCTCCCCGGCACATCCCCGCCCGCATGTGTCCCCCCCCCACGCCCCGCGGGGGTCACCTGAGCTGGGGGTGCCCCTCGATGGCGGCACAGCCCGGGGGTCCCCGGTCGCGGCCGTGCAGGCTCAGGGCCGCCCACCCACAGTCCACCAGCAGCTGCCGGCGGTGGGGGTAGTGCCCGACCACCCTGGTGAGGACACGGATCGCCACCTCCTCCGGCCGGCACGAGCCCAGCTGGGTCTGCTGCAGGTCTGGGGTGGGGGGAGAAGAAAGAGCCTGGATGAGCTCGGGGTGTGTCCCACCCCCGGGGGGTCCCGCGCGGCCGGGGGGTCCCGTCCCACTCACCATAGAACAGGTAATTGCCCGGGTGCACCTCGGTGAGCTGCGACATCTCCGGCACCGGGTGGCTGCAGGACGGGGTGGAGCCGATGGTGGCCTCGGGACACGGGATCCCCTCCTGCCGCAGCCTGGGGGCACATCGGGGGGACCCTCTGAGTGCTCGGGGAGAGGGGCCAGAGGTGAGTCCTTCACCCCCGGGCACGGCGGGGAACAAGACCAGGGGTGGCTCCTTCGAGTTTGGGTGCCACAGGAGCAGGACCGGGGGTGGTGATGCCTCAGGGAGCCCCCAGATGTGCCAGGGAGCCCCTCCCAGACACTCAAGGGAACCATCCAGATGTGGAAGAGCCCCCCCCCCTCCCCAGTATGTTAGGAAGATCCCAAGAGACTGGGGAGTCAGTCAGATGTGCCCAAATGCCACCCAGATGTGCCAGAGCACTCCCAGCCATGCCTGGGACCCCTCCCAGCTGTTCCTGGCCCCCCAGATGTGGCAGAGCACCCACCAGCTGTGCTTGGGACCAGCCCCAGATCCCAGATCCTGCCTGGGATCCCTTGCTGATATTCCCAGCTGTGCCAGAGCAGCTCCCAGCTTTGGGAAAAAGGGGGAATTTGGGGGAGGTGGCCTCAGTTTCCCTCCCCTAAATCGGTGCCACCACGGGCTGGACTGGGCTGGGG